GGGTTCTCTCCCTCGCCGGAGGCTGCAGGCGCTCCGGCCCCGACTCCAGGCGTCTGCTGACAATTTGCTCCCAGCCATTAGCAGGTACTCTCATAGTATTTACAACCTGATAGCTCTCCCGGCTCGATACAGTTTGTGTTTTCGTAAATACACAGACACATTCAAGGAATTTCGGAGGGGGAGGGGGGAGGGGGGAGGGAAAGGCGCTTAAAATTAAAAGTGAAGCATAATTTGAAACTCTACCTACACCGCGGCTTTTATAATCAGCTTGTGACATGCTTGGCACTAAACACTGTTTATGTCCACAATTAATGCAGTTAATACTAGGTTAGTAACTGCGGCAGTCAGCCACGTGCATCGCCTGGCACATGGGTGCCTTCTCCTAACTGGAGAGGCACGCTTTCCTCCTCGGTGCACACGGCCAGGCCAGTTCGAGCACATCTGGAATCAGTTTAACTGGGGCCTCCCTCCAATGCAGCACTCAGCGTTGCCAGTGTATTCTTTCAATCAAAACGCTATAAAAAGGGGAGAAGGAATTAGGACAAAAATGGGAGTGGGAGAGGATGAAAAAAACGGGAGTGCCAGGCTCGTTCCAAATGAAGCCACCCTGGTGCAGCAGGTTTCATAGCCTGCCTGAACAAGACCCAGCATCAGGAAGCCCCTAATTGGGCCTCTATAACCAGTTTGGCCAGTTCCTGTTTCTCCTGTCTCTCCATGCAGTTGGACATCTCAGCGTGCATTACCCACCTGTGGCTGTTGCTCAGCATCTGTTGTCCCCACCTGGTGAGGGACAGTGGCAATGCTGTTCTCAATAGAAGGTGGTTCACTGAAGGGGTACTGCATTGTACACCTACCAAGCATAAGCATGCAAGCCCAGGTAACTCACGGATGTTTTCCAAAAAACGCATTCTTAAGACAGAGACACCATGTTGCAATGGGAAGATGAGCATCTCATGAGCTGGTTGCAAAACCTTATTTGTACTTCTGGAGCAGGAGGTGAATTTTGAAACTGCATTTTTACAGAGTTCAAAAGCTCTAGTAAGAGTTCTACAGGCAAGTTCAAGGCTTCCTTGGGAAATCAAGCATCTTCAAACATTGTGCCTACATCTAGGCATATGCCTATGTACCTGCTCACTTATGCAGCAGGCACACTGGTGTCATAACATGCCCTGTTTTTCTTCTGTGGCCACTTACAACTTCAGTGAGAGCAGAATAAATGTGCAAATCAGTCATGCATTAAGTAACGTCACTATCATCTATCACGTGTTTGTTCACTTATCCTTTCCCCAAGGAGAGGAGCGTTTGTTTTGTGATTTTACACGCCCCTAAACATTTATGCCAGAACCGTCAAGGTCAAAGAAAGGTGCTCTTCACTTGCAGTAGGAGCTGGTGAAATCTGAGATAAGCTCCCAGAGGAAAGGAAGCCTACTTCACAGTCATGGCTTGGCCATCAAAAACAAATGCCTTCTGCACAGATACACGTCATCCTTCATCTGGAAGGCTGCCTCGTGCCAGAAGAACATCCCTGTCAACCCTCATCCTTTAACCCAATTCTTCAGATAGTCTGAGATGATCTGTCATATCAATTCCTGCTTCCCTTGGCATAGTTACATTAGAGGCAAACTCCATATCTCATTTCTGTTCAAGCCCAGTTCACAAAATACTAGAGGAGTAGCTTCTTCAAGAATATTTTAATCAAAATGATTAGTATTCTCTTACTTTGCGCTGACCAAATGGGAAAACTGAGTTTGTTTGGGTTTAATTAGGTTACAAATTCATTAAAGGGAATTAACACTTTATAGGGTACAAAAGACCACATGTGTCTGCTGTTACTTGTCTCCACATTTCTTTCTTCAATTGCATTCTGGGTCACCCATTACTGCTTTTTCACCTGCTGCAAGCTATAAGCAAGAGGGTAGCAAATAGATTGCAATACATGCTTGAAAGGGTGCTATTCTTTCTTGTTTCAAAGTTTTAGAAGTAACTTCAATCCACAAGCCTCCAAAATGCACAAAAACAAAATAAGTGGCTTTTTACAAAAAAAAAAGGAAATCAATCACTGATCTCCACTGAAAATGATCTTCAGCTGAGGCACTTTTCATTTTGACATGCTTAAATACCACAGAATTAACACTGCATACAGATGACAAAAGGGTCACACACCCACCAGCAATTAAAAAGAAAAAATCATCTAGCAATGGAAAAATGCAAATGTATGGAAAAGGATTGTGTCCAAACAATGCAAGGATTATGAGGAAAGAAACTTCTACACTTATTAAAGGGAAATGGCATCCTACCCAGGGTGCAGTCATTGGGTATATTAGAGTGATATTTTATCTCCTAAATAATGAAGGAGGGGCATTAGGTAGAGTTCCTGTTCATTGTTGAGTAAAGCTGCCCACCTTTTTTCCATCACCACAAATTCATATTTAGGAACGCAGGATAGTGTAGAAGGACAGACCATGCCTCTTCCTGCTGTTGAGCTCCTTGCTATACTATTCAGCAAGGGGGACTTCCCACTGTTTAAAATGTCTTTTCTAACCATTTGCCTGTTGAGGAGAATCAGAGTGTTTCAGTGTGGTGCTTAGCCTCACTGTCCCTCATTCCTTGGGGCAGGGATGGGCTGACCAAAGCCAATGGTGATATACATTATTTAGCAGGTTTATAAGTAGTTTTCCTTGGACTCGCTGCTATTCATTATACAGCATTTTAAGACTTTAAAGGTGGAAATTAACAAAGCTGAGAATGGACATGGAATACATATGGTTTTATCATTCAAATCATTGAGTGTCAATTATTGTCACTATAACTAATGAGGTCAGTCAGCCATGCTCTTCTACTTGCAGCTGGAGGGCACTGATTGCAGATTTAGTTCACTCGGATGACTGCTTGTGGGAAGAAATACGTGGGAAGCCCTGGTTTCAATATGGTGGTAAAGATTATGGAAATCATTACAATCAATTGGCAGAGAGGTCATTTAATTTATAATGAAACTTAAGAGTAAGTTTGATGCATTTATGTGCTCATAGTGAGCATTTCTCTCTGCTCAAGTGGATGCAGCATGCTTCATTTCTTAGCAGCGTGTTCAGGAAGAATCAATGAATAGGAGAGTGAGCTGAAGGACACCTAGGTAATCGTCAGCAGTGAAATGTGGAAGGCGAACAATGCCACCACTCATAGCCAGATTACCAGAGTCATGGCATGCCTCAGAGCAAGCACTGCCTGTGGAGGTCAGTGAAGAGTCAAACCATATCTTACCAGCAGGAAGAGGGAGAAAGGGGAATTTTAGCCCCTTTCTACTTCACCCTCTGTTTCCTCAGATAAGCAGGTGTTATGAGAGCTAAGGATCATTGTAAGACAGTCTTTGACCCACAATATAGAATAATTGCTCCGTTAGTTACAGTTGTGTTAACTGGGTTGTGCTACACATTGTGTGGGGTAGAGCTGACTAAAATGTGTGCCTGCAGTCATTTGTTGACTAACACAGTCTTTGTGGCCAACTCATGCACGTTCCACTGCAAATGCTTTTGATAACACTGTTATAAAGGCTTGTGAATGTCAGTGTAGGAGGGCAAAATATTTTGAGCTGCTCAGCTTCGCTTTATAAATATTTTTGGAAGCCACCAATGTGAAATGCTCCATTCGCATTCAGCACTGAAAAAAATAATGGTTTCTTCTAAAACAAAGACACATCTGTCAGTGCAGTAGAGTATATGAATTTACGCAATTTGCAGCACAGAAAAAGTACTTTCTCAAACAAATTAAGTTGAAGCAGGCAGAGAAAGAACAGCATGAAGCTCTCTATGCAATGTCAACAATAATTAACAGAGCACTTTATAGTCTGCCAGTGCTTCCCGTGAGTAAGGTACTCTCAGATATTTGGTATGAACAGGCTGCCCTCCTGTTCCTCTGCTCCTGGAACCCAAAGCCGCAAGTGTTAGCTTTTAGTGGCTAGCCTATCATTAACTTTTTAAATGTTGTATGCCACCCAACATTTCCTCTTAGAAGGACAGAGGGCAGAGGGCAAGAAGACACTGTTGAAACTGCTGCAGGGATTCATGGAGTTTGCTTTGCTGTGTTGTACCGGGAAATTTGGGGGATTTGCTTCTTTCTCAGGTGCATTAAAAAGAAAAACACATTGCACCACACACAGAGCCTGTTAATCTCTTTATTCCTGAGTTTCCCTGTTGATAACTTGGGAGAAGGCAGCTTCCTTGTTTCCCTCACAGATGCGTGCAACATTTGGAAGTTTTCTTCAACTCCTACTGATTCTCCAGGGACGCAGACTGCAGACATTTTACAGCAGGGAGTCTACTCTCTTATGCTGCCTGTGTACAAAATGCAGAACTGAA